GCTCCCTGCGGGGCGGGGGGCTCGCAGCAGCGCGGGCCGGGGGACGCAGGGGCGCTGCCAGTCCCACGCCGCCGCCCCCCTGAGCCCGACCCTCTCCTCTGTGCGCAGAAAGCGGCGCTGGAGGGCACCTTGGCCGACACCGAAGCCCGCTACGGCACCCAGCTGGCCCAGCTGCAGGCGCTGATCACCAGCGTGGAGGAGCAGCTGGGCGAGCTGCGCTGTGACATGGAGCGCCAGAACCACGAGTACAGGGTCCTGCTGGACGTCAAATGCCGCCTGGAGCAGGAGATCGCCACGTACCGCCGGCTCCTGGAGGGCGAGGACGCCCAGTACGTAGAGGGGCTCCCTGGGGAGGGTGGCTCAGGGGGAGACGGGTGATAGTGAAGGAAATAAAAAACTAACCACCTGCCTGTGCTGGAGGCTGCTGTGAGCCCGTTGCCTGGCCCAGGGCAGGCAGCAGGGTCTCCCCTCTCAGTCCTAGCCCAGCAGAGCCCAGTGGGTGCCACAGCGCTTCGGCATCCCCGCAATCCAGCCCCCCCCTCGGAGCGGGTTCCACTGCTGCTCGCGCTGCCACGCTCACCCTCACCAGTCTCCTCCTTCCAGTTTTGTCACTTGGCAGTTTCCTCAAGGCATTTTAATCACCTACTGGTACAAGAAGAAAAGGCGGGGTTTTAAATCATGATTATGTCTTAGACACTACTCACTCTTTCCATTTCTGACCACTCTGTCTCTTTTCTCCTCCCGTAGCATGTCTTCCCACTACATCTCGCAGTCTGTGAAAGAAGGTAAGAACATGTCTTGGCTGAAGCGCGGATCACGCGTGACTCTGCCATATCCTTAGCCACCTTCTTAGCACGGACTCCTTCTACTCATTTACTAAATTTATGACTGTATTTTCAAAATGTGAGTCGACATAAACCACTCTTGCAATGCCACCCCCACAAGTTTCAGGAGATTGCCTGTGCAGACTGAAGCTGTACAATAAAGTATGTTGGGGGAGGAAGGTGGTGGTTATACTGGCTGTCCGAGCACTGGTCGGTAATAACAGATCTACCCCTGAAAATCTGTAAAGACACTTTCTCCCTCCTTCCCCGTCAGTAACGGCTCCTTCTTTCTCCACTGCAGCACCTGTAACGACCCGCCAAATCCGCACCATCTTTGAGGAGGTGCAGGATGGGAAGGTGATTTCCTCCCGTGAGCAGATCACCCAGTCTGCCCACTGAGGGGGCTGCGTGGTTTGCTGCAAACCTCGCAGAGCAGCGCAAAAGAAGGTTCCGGCTTGTGTGCTCTGGCTACGTAGGTCACGAAAAGCGTCGTCTCTTCTCATCACACCCCCGCTTCCCTCACCCTTCTCTAAGCGCCGCGTTCAGAAACCCAATAAAGCTTTTCTTCGTGCTCATGCAAACCAGGGTCTTGTTGCTCTGAGGGAGCTGTGGGACAAAGCTCCTCTCTGGGAGGAGTTAACGTTCTCCATCTCCGCTACGCGGCTGGGGGGGCCCCTACACCAACCCTCCTGTGCTGCCGGTGCCGACAGCTGCTGGGGGCGGAGGTCTGGAGGGAACCGAGTGGGTGGGTGATGGGAGGTGAGACCCGTGAGAGTCTCTATTTCACCTCAGATGTGTCGCTGAGACTTTTGGGTGGGGGCAAAGCGCTGCTTCCCCGGCTCCAATGTCCAGCAACAGCAGAGCTGAAGCTTTTCACTCAGGGAGTCCAAGCAAGAAAGCGAACAAAGCCCAGGTGACCCCGCCAGCACCCTGCGAACGCTCCCTGCCCCAGCTCGGCCTCAGCAGCCGCCGTGTGGTCCCGATCACAACCCGTGTGGTAAAACACAACTGAGCTGCAGATGTGGCAGGGACACGCGGGCTGATGCCCCTCCAGAAATACAAACCCAGCTTGGTTTATTTCTCGTTTCCAAAGGCACCGCTAAAGTGTGAGGAAAACAAGCGATGGGAGTGGGGGGGGCACGGTCTGGACAAGTAAAAAGATTGAAACTCCTCCGGGAGTTACTTCTGGCTCTCTGGATGTTGGTGGCTGCTCCTGAGGCAGCGGCTGGCGGTGCCGTCAGCTGGCCCGGCTGTTCCTGGAAAGCCAGTTCAGACACATTCTTGGCTGGATTCCACTGATTTATTACTTCATAAATCCGACTGCTAAATCGATGGGATGATTCAGAGAAATGCTACTGAACGTGTGTAATAGAGCTGGCCACACAGTTTTAAAACCCCATTCCAGAAAATCTGCCTGGGTTTTATGGGGAGATAAGCGAGAATTCAGGTTGTGGTTTTTGGTTTTTTTTTTTTTTCCCCAAAAAGGATCCCTGTGGTGCCTCACCTGCACCACAAGCTGAGCTAGAAGGGTCTGGCGGGGTCCTGGGCTGCAGCCGCACACCAGGGCTGCATCCCCCGTCCTCTGCAGCTCGTGCGGGGCATCAGCTGCCCCTGCACCCCGCGCCGAGCCCTCACCAAACCGGCTCAAAGCGCTCCCAGCATCCCCCGACCTGGGGCTTTGGTTCTGAAGCGTAGTGCTGCCCAACAGGGATCTCGCCTCGGCTCAGATTCCACCCCAGGACACGTACACACAACCCAGGAGCGCTGCGGGCAGGAGAAGGGCTCCCCGGCGCTGACGGTGCCTCGTGGATGGGCCACGGGGGAGTAACGGGGCACAATTCCCGACCGAGGCAATTCCAGGCGCAGCCCCACAGCCTGCGCCCTGCCCGCTCCCACAGCCGGGACGAGGGGCCTCTCCCCAGCGACGCTCCGCGCCCGGGGCTGGCGGGGGGCAGGCGTCGAGCAGCCCGGGCGTGGGCGCCTGCGAAGGGAAGGGACAGACACACCCGCAGGCAGCACCTGGGGCTCCCCAGGTCACCTCTGAGGGACCCACGTCCCGGCCTGGGTGGCGCAGGGACCGTCACCCCTCTCGCAGCTCCTCCCAGCTCCCCGCCCTGCGACACCCGGCGCGGGGATGCTGGAGGTGCCTCGCTGGAATTCATCCGTGCTTTAAATTTTTCTCCTGGAAAAGCCTGGGCACACCTGTGTCACTATGGAAACAACAAATAATACTTTGCTAACAGAAGTTAATTAATGAGCAATTAAAACAGGGGATTTTGTTAGCGAAGCATTGCTACTGCAAATTGCGAGGGAGGTGTGGAAAACAGATGTTGATTCTCTCCTGCCTTAAGCATTAATAATTAGTCCTGACCTTAAGAAACCCGTTGAGGAGAGAGCTGCAGGTGGCGGCTTATGCAGACAGGCAGCGGCAGCTTGAGGCAGGTTTCAGAAAGGGGTATTTTATTCCAGAGAGAAGGTTTGACTTCTCAAGCTACACTGAGTTCATCCGACATAAAAAAGACCGCTTTAGACAGAGACGTTCAGGTGCGGCTTTTCATCTCATTCTAGGGAACATTCCTCCGATAATCTGATAGCAGGGCAAAGTTTTTACACACGCTAAAATAAAGAGAGAAGCGGTTTTGTTCAGGTATTTTCATCTACCGGGTCTGCTGATATGTATGCCTGGAGCCGGAACTTCTCCTGAAGTAAGACAATATTGTGTGTTTAAACACCAAGGTGCTGCCGTGAAATTACTGCTACGCCACGGAACCGGCATTCTGATTTTCGGACGTATCAAAAAGAGGCTCGTAGTGTGCACGTGCTCCCGGAACAGAGGCAGAATCCGCTTTAACAGCCAGCCTTTCCTTTAAGAGAGAGTGTGGTACAAACAACACGCAGCCGCTTGTGGTTGCGTTCAGTGGGAGATCATGTAAATAACGTATTAGAATTTTTAATATGTTGTTTCAAGTCTTAATTAACGCTTCATGATTTTAATTGCTGCCTTGTGGCATTACCGAAATATCACAGATATTTTGGGCAATGTGTATTTTTATGACGCAGCGGTTAAATAGGAAACAACAGATGAAAGGAAAGCAATTTCATGACAAAAAAAAGAACCCTCCGTCGCCTCGTGACGTTGGGGCAGTCTCTGTCCCCGAGCCGGGTGTCGGGAGCTGAGGGGCTGGACTGGCCCGGGGGCTCTGGACTGGTTTTGTCACGGACGTTCCCCTTCCTCCGTGCCGCCGCTGCCCGCAGCACGGACGGCCCGTGAGTTCTGCCCGTCTGCATCCCCGGGGTGAAGGTGAGAAATGGAAGTGGGGAGAAGCCCGTTCCCCGGAGCTGCCCGTCCCAGCCACCCCCACGCTGCTGCGCCCCTGCCACCGGGAGGGCGAGCGGCAAGTGGGCGCCCCTGGCTCCGCGCCCCGTCTCCTGGCGCTGACGCCACAAGATGCTGCCGCCGGGAGACTGAAGCCGTCCTCCAGCCAGAGCAAACACGGCGGAGATTCCAGTTCTCCAGTTCTCCGAGTCGCACAGACTTGTCTCCCTTCACCGGTGGCTTCTCCACAGCAGCCACCTCCTGGCAGCCCAAGGACACAGCCCACTCCTGCACCGTTTCCAGCTTTCTCCAGGTAGAGGGGAGGGAGTTGTGCCCTTAGAGCTGCTCAGAAAGTGCCTCCCTTGCTGATTTCCAGACTCTTCCCCCCCCTCCTTTGGCAAATGATCTAAGGCAGAACTTGGCTGTTGGGGAGGGGTTGTTGGGGCCTGTCTGCGAAGACAGTCAGACACTTCACTGTGTACACACATGAGAAATATCTTCCCCTCCACACCCTGCATTATTAGCTAGTGACACTCAGATCTGCGGTTTCTGCCCGTGATGCAGGTCAGCGCGGAGAACAGAGCTTGACCATGCCTCCTGCACTCACTTTTTGAGCCTCTTTGCTCTTCAGAGGTAAAATCAGAGGTATCGCTCCTGAAGCCCTGTTTACATGGGAGCTGTAAATCCCAAACTCACACTGAAGTTGTCTGCCCCGGTCACGACTGGCTGAGATGTTCATCACGGAAACCATCGTTAGCATTAGCTCCTAGGCTCTGTTCCTGTCAACTCTTGTTCACGGTGCTTAGAGACCAGGAGCTTTTTTCCTTACATCCTCCATCCACTTTATGTTATTCCACAATTTTTCCTGGGGCATCTCATAATTTTTCAGTTATGTCAGCTAGTAGCCATACCCTGCCCTTTCTGAATGGTTTGCCGGGCTCTTGTCCACAAAGAAGAACACAAACATCCACTGCTGATTGCCTTTTCCTATTCACCACCCTTGGGTAGTCCCTGGAGCAAAGAATTGAACAAGCCCTGAAGCATGAACTCCCTTTTCATTGCTTTTTCATTACAGAACATCCCTCTCCCCGTGGATAAAAGACTGGACTTGCATTTCCAGGATGGCAGCCAAGTTCCTTCTAACCCCATTGTCCTCAGAGGGCTCTGCATGAACATTCAGGGCTCCAGGACCCGGCTGCTGTCCCTGCAGGTGTGTGTGTGTGTGTGTGTGTGCAACCTGAAGACAGCCCCGACACTCTATAGCCGGGGCAAAAGACACAGAGAAAGGGATGCTGACACGCTCCGTCGAAACGCTGTCTGAACAGCTCTATTTCAGAGCTAACAGTACAAAGCAGTATTAAAATGTAGCCCTGAGCAAGGAGCGTCCTGCTTTGAATCACACCTGACTATTTACTTGGAAACGGAAGAAGCATAAAGACGCCCTTTGTGAGATAAAAAGTTTCTCGTGGAATATGACAAAAAGCATTAATAGAACAAAGGCAAAAATGACGATTCTGGAAGTTGGCTCAGATTTTAGGAGTGATGAAAATCGTTGGGAATGCAAAAAAAAAAAAAAAAAAAAAAAGGG